TACTATGGTAAGAAGTAACTTCTAAATTGTTATGTGATTACCATGTATGCATTAATACATAGAAATAGATGGATGCTATGTTATATGATTTATATGCTTAAGTGAAAATGCAACATATGATATATGTTATTTGACATGACATGCATGGTTACATGAAAGAAAGCTATGTGACTACATGTATATGTGAAAGAAGCTATAAGCTTATATGCACATGTGATATATGTGATATGAATTACATGAAATGATTTACATGAATACATGTATATATATAATACATGTGATATGATATGAGATATATGGTTACACATACATGTGGTATGTGACAGAAGAGAAAGAACAAGTGATACGAAATGTATAAATAAATGCCCATAGTATATGATACGAGAGCTATAGGTATAGTTGGCATGCCAAGAGTCGAGGGTTTTACCTATGTCTTTCGAGACATATGGACAGTATACCTATGTTCTAAGGAACATATGGACAGTTTACCTAGGTTCTTTGGGACCTATGGACAGTTGCCGAGGTTCTTTATGACCTCTGGATAGTTACCGGGGTCTGTGTGACCTCTGGATAGGTCCTTCGGGACATTTATATGAGCTGTGGTGACAGCATTAGTGCACAACCTCAATGTACTCACATACCTCTATTCTCAATAATATACATGGGCAATGAAATTGAAAGACAAATGAAAGTGAAAGTGATACAAGAAGGTAAATTGCATGTGTGCATGACCTGATTGTATATTGTTATCATACAATAGATTCATGCATATTGATATGTCATGATTCAATGATATGAATGCACATACATGAATTTATATGAGGTTATGTGTGTTTCTGGGTATAGTGATATATGTGTTATATGATGAGTATATGGTAAGTGGAAAGGATTATTGATAGTGTTTGTATATATGTATGTCTTTTATTTATATGAAATAATATATGGTTATATTATATGTTTTATATGCCTCACTAAGTCTATGACTTAGCGTGTAAGTGATTTACACGTAGGTACCAAGAACGAGAAGTGAAAGAATAGAAGTGGCAAAGACAGCATCACTACTAAAAGATCAGATCAGAAGTATTTGACAAAGTATGTATTTGGTTATGTATAAAGTGTTGGCATGTAATAAGTCATTAAGTATGAGCACTCTGATCAAGTCTGTATTTTGTTTTAAATAAAGTTTTAAATTTCCCGGGATTTTTCTTAAGAGTCAAGATTTGAAAAGTCAATGTGACACGTCGGACTCGTATCCGGGTCGGGTACAGGTTGGGGGTGTTACAGCGCCCAAATCCTTCATAGCAAACTGTTTTGACAATTTTTGCTTCAAGTTTATAATCTCTTGCATGTCTGAGCCTGCAACGAGCATGTCATCAACGTACAACAATAAATACGACTGCTACTCATGAAACTATCGAACTTCTTGTACCACTGTTTAGGAGCTTGTTTTAAACCATACAAGCTCTTCTTCAACCTGCATACCAGGTTTTTCTTGCCTGCCTCTATGAAGCCTTCTGGCTGCCTCATATAGATTTCTTCCTCCAAATCACCATGAAGAAAATCTGTCTTTACATCTAACTGCTCAAGATGTAAATTCTCTGCAGCTACAATTTTCAACACCAGTCTGATTGTAGACAGTTTCACGACTGGAGAGAAAATTTCATTGTAGTCAATACCTTCTTTTTGCTGAAAACCTTTGACAACCAATCTCGCTTTGTAGCGTTTACTCCCATCGTGCTCTTCTTTGATCCTGTAAATCCACTTGTTGTGAAGCACTTTCTTGCCTGGTGGTAATTCAGCTAATTCCCACGTCTGATTTGACATAAGCGAGTCAATCTCATCTTTCATGGAAGACTCCCACTTGACTGAATCCTCTACTTGCATTGCTTCATCATAACACTCTGGTTCACCATTATCTGTCAGCAACAAGTAGTGCAAAGAAGGAGAATACCATTGGGTTGGTTTAGGAATTGTAGAGGAGCGTTTTAGTTCTGGTGTGCCTGGTTCTTCCTCTTGAACTGCTTCAGGACTGATCTGAACATCATTTCCAGAAATCTCCTCGAACTCAGCAAATTCCTTTGTTTCAGCTTCGGTATTACTTGATTATGCGGTTGACCTGTCTTTGTACATCACATTTTCATTGAAAATGACGTCTCTGCTTCTAATGATCTTCCGATTTTCGTAGTCCCAAAACCGGTAACCAAACTCATCACCACTGTAACCAACAAATACGCATTTGTTGGACTTGTCATCAAGTTTACTTCTTTCAGCAGAGTTTATGTGTACATAAGAAATACAACCAAACACTCTTAAGTGTGAAAGGTTTATTTCTTTCTTGCTCCAAGCTTCCTCTGGTATTCTGCCATCCAAAGGAACTGAGGGCCCACGGTTGATCAGGTAAGCTACAGTGTAATTTGGGCAATCCGGCATGTATCCTCATGCTTCTGGCACGTTCATTCAAAGTTCTGTTAATGCGCTCTGCTACGCCATTCTGCTGCGGTGTTATGGGAACTGTTGTCTCCATCTTGATCCCATTGTTTGCGCAGAAATCTCTGAATCTACTATCTCTGTACTCTCCTCCATTGTCAGACCTCAACCGCTTGACTTTTAAACCAGTCTCATTTTCCACCATGGCCTTCCATTTTCTGAAGGTATCGAAGACTTCTGATTTCTTCTTCAGAAAATAAACCCACACCTTCCTTGTTGAATCATCGATGAAGGTGACATAATATAGTGAGCCTGCAAGAGATGGAACTGGGATGGTCCCTATACATCAGTATGAACCAATTCTAACCTTTCTGCCTTGGGTGTCTTGCCAATCTTTGCAAAACTGACTTTCTTTTGTTTGCCAAAGATGCAATCCTCGTATAGTCCGACATCTACATTCTTTAGATCCGGCAGCTTCCCTTTTGACAGAAGTATCTTCATTCCTTTCTCGCTCATATGGCCAAGCCTTTGGTGTCATAGGTTTGATTTTCCATCAACATCTGCTACTGCAATGATATTCTCTAAATTTGAGGTTACATAGAGAGTACCAGTCTTCTTACCACGAGTAATGACGAGTGCTCCTTTGGTAATCTTCCATTCACAGCCTGAAAAGGTTGTACTGTATCATTCTCCATCAATTTGTCCTACAGAAATCAAATTTCTTTTGAGACCAGGAATATGTCTTACTCCTGTCAGCTTCCAGGTGGTCTGGTTTGACAGCTTTAGTCGGATGTCTCCTTTTCCGACGATCTTCAAGGTTCCATCATCAGCAAGATGAACCTTCCCAAAATCACCACTGACATAGTTCTCCATGATTTCTTGGCATGGCGTGGAGTGGAAAGATGCCCATGAATCCAAAATCCATGATTCAATCGGACTGTTGACGCTTAAAATCATAGCATCACCTGTCTCCTCCGTCATGTTGGCAGAGTCCTGTGCGCCGGTATTTTTCTTCGGTGCTCGGTAATCTCTTTTGAAGTGGCCCTTCTTGCCGTAATTATAACAGGTAAAATCTTTATTTCCTGTTCTTGATTTTCCCCTTCTGGATTTCGATCTGCCACGATTTGAATTTCTTTCTGAAGTTCTCCCTCTGGACTCCGTGTGCAAGGCTGAGGAGGTTGATGCTTCACCCGATTCTCTCCGTCGAATTTCTTCGCTCAGTACCAGATCCCGAACATCGTCGAATTTTAATTTGTTGTTTCCCGATGAACTGCTGACTGCTGTAACAATAGCATTCCAACTGTCTGGTAAAGATGATAAGAGAATTAAAGCTCAAACTTCATCATCAAATTCAATTTCCACTGAACTCAACTGGGTTGTGATTGTGTTGAGTTCATTTAGGTGTTGTGCCACCGATACCCCTTCCGTCATCCGCAAATTGAATAATCGCCTCATCAAATGAACTTTGTTTGAGGCCGATGACTTCTTATACATACTGGAGAGAGCCGTCATAAGACCCGCCGTGGTCTTTTCCTTTGCTATGTTGAAAGCAACATTACGGGATAACGTCAGTCGGATAACTCCGAGGGCTTGTCTGTCGAGAAGAGCCCAGTCTTCATTCTTCATGCCCTCTGGGTGTTTTCCTGAGGGGTTGATATAGATTTTTCTGGTATAGAAAATCTTCAATTTGCATCTTCCAAAATCCAAAGTCCGCACCATCGAACTTTTCAATTTTCACCTTTCATTCGTCTGCAGCCATCGCTCCCACTCGAATCTGGCTTCGTTTGGATCGTTTCTGACAATTTCCGCGAACCGCCGTGTATTAGAACACCTCTGTCGATAAACTCGTATCGCCGACCGAATTTCACTATTCACTTAAATAGTAACCCGAATAGTAACCCCGCAAAAAATTGACAGAATTCACAACCAAAAGCTCTGATACCAGTTGTTAGGAAATAAACCAAGTACAAGTAATTTCCCTATTACCAGATTAGTGAGAATACGAAATAAAAGCGGAAAAATAATACCCGAAATTGATAACGGAGTTCAGCCAATTGTGCTTACGTCTCCGGACTGCTGCAGATCTTTTACTAAGAGAGAAAATTTACAGGTGTTTACAAAACACTCACTACTCACAAGAAAGCTCTCTAGTATTGGGAGAAAGAAATGATTTTTGGAATGGTTTTGAAGCTAAATGAGCTAGGGTATTTAAAGTTGAAACTTAAGGACTTAATCTTGTAAATACCATAAAGCCTAGGTATTAATTGTGATTATCCCATTATCATTTTTCAACAAACATCTAACAAACTTTGAAAAACTATTTTTCAAAGAAACATTTACCAAACTTTGAAAACCATTTTTTCAAAGTTGGTTACCAAACTTGAAAACCATTTTAATACTTTCAACAGAAATAGAGCCTAAGTAATTTATTTTGTGGATACAGGGAACCGTTAATGCGTGCTGGGACCATCAGCAACAGCAGCTCCATCATATATCTGATAAGATGTATGCGGTTCAAATTGTAATAATGTCTCTAATGTGACAGTTTCACCTTCGACCTATCATTTTCGCTCTTTTCTCTCTTCCCCTTGTTTCAGGGCTTATACTTGCTACTCTACACTCATTTCAATGCTACGCATAAACTTTCTTTTCTTAATTAACATCGAACTATATTCCTACCTCAAAACCCATTGCTTGTCTGCAGATCAATATGTTCAGTGCTCAATGTCGATGCTACAATCAAGAGTTCTAGCCGCCCCGTCCACTCCTCACCGGGTTTCAATGTCACATGCTTCTCTATTGCTGCTCCGTTGACGCATAGCATCTGTTTGTACTCCCCGTCTCCGAAATCTGCCATTGGTTTCGACTTCTTCTCCCATGGATTCCATACCACTGTTAATAACATAAACACAATCTTTTTGTTATTTGGTTACAGAACAGACTGAGCATACACTATAAAAACATCTCTCGAGCTTACCAACATCGGGCAGTCCCTCCTTCCTGATAATATAAGTTCGTTTCCTTTTGTGGTCAAGTACATCGACTACATTAGGAGTGTTGAGATAAACTTGATCCACCTGTCACACCGTTTGAAGAACGTTAGCATTGTTCTTTAAAACTCTTGTCGCAGCACTATCGCCAGTCAAATGACTTTCAAGTACAAGTATCTAGATGCCAATGACCGGAGTTAGTAGCCCTAGACCACAAACATACATAATTGGACACTTCAAAGTAGTAGTATAACTTGTGTACCTCGGATTCGAATGTTATAGCATCTCCTTGCTCGGTAAAACGTTCTTTATGGCAAAGGTTGTCTAGGTAGTCGACAGTCTCCAGCCCTTCTATCCTCACTTCACTGAAGACATGGTTCACGTTCATGTAACATCCAGAAAGAACTTATAACTTCTAATCGATCCAAAAGGGAAATATTGGTTAATATGATATCGAGATAGATTGCAGCAGACACACAATACATACCTGATGTCGGAAACCGACAAATACGTATGATACGCAAAAGAGAAACTAAAGTCTGTCGGCAACAGATAAGCAATTCGTTTACATATACAGGTTGCGGCGACTGATGCAGTCACTGGGCAACTTGCAATCATGTCATAAATCGAGAAAGGAATGTAAACATCCGAGCTCTTACCTATGGGGCCAACATCTGAGATCTTCAGATGGATTAAGCAAAAGATCAACCAAGGATTTCCGATGGGAATCATTCGGACTAAGAGGTGGAGGATTTTCATCAACTGTCCAAATCTTGCTCCTAGCAAATCCATGTTGCTCGAGCGATCTGCAGTTATCTAACTTGACGATCATCCGATAAGCAAGCATGAATAAACTTCCATATAACTGAATTTACTAAATGACTGAGAATGAAGACTACCTGTGGGAAACAAATAGAGATCCCTCCTCGAACAGCTTTCGGGGGCTTAAAAACCGCCTAAAATTCATTACAAATAACACGAATCCATAACTCGAATCGGCATCTCGGGTAACTTGTATAGAAATTAAACATTATTTAACCCTTCCCCTACCTTACTACTTGTAAACAAAAGCTCCTCCCCTCTGTTATCTCCATCCTATTGGTTGATAAATACTGAAACAAAACTCTGCCGCTTTTATTTTGTCCATCTAGTTTAATTGCAAACTTAGAATTTTTCTCCACCTACAACCCTTTGTAGGCTTCTGCTGTCAAAACAAGCCCATGATGAAGATGCTTGTCTTTGCAGAAAAAACAAGTACTAAGATGCTAATCCATAAAACTATGGAACTTAATTCAGATAATTCGGATTGGTTATAATTTTTTTTTGAGTAAAGTATACAAATAGGCTCCCGATTATAGGGTATAACTTTGTTAAGTCCCACGATTATTAAAAGTTATATAATGATCCGATTATAAAGTGTTTATTTGTTGAGTACTTTGATTAGTTATAAAATGGTTACTCAATTATTCATATGTTTCAAAAACATTCCTTTCCGCTAAAAAATTGGTGGTTGTCTGAGTTGGACATTAACCTGTTGATTCTAATATGATAAAATCTAATCCCAGAACCATTAGAGCTATGTTTTGTTTACGTTATGCCGTCGAGCCAATGCTTGAAATATGTCATCGATCCAATGCTTGAAAGCAACGACAATGCTAGTAGGCATCATTAAAATACGATTTATTATATTCCAATCAATCGGTAACATCCAATTTAGACGACCGTCTATTTTTAAATTTTTAATGAAAAATAATGAGTTTGAAATATCTGAACAATCGAGGAATTATTTTGTAGCTTTTAATAGTCATAAAACTCAAGAAAATAAAATCGTATAGACCAAATATCATATTATAATTTTTAATAGTTGGAGGAATAAAAAAATAACACATTGTAATCAAAAGACCATTTGTATATTTTACATTTTTAATGATTATTCCATTTAATTATAATTTTAATTATAAATATTTTTTAAAAAAAGTTAGTAAATGAAATCAAAATGTGTATGAATACAATTACTTTATTATTTTATAGTTTTATAATAGAAAATTTATGTATCTAATTAATCTACTATTATTTTAATTTTATTTTAATCATTTAGTTATTATTTTAAAAAAATATTTAAAATAACAATTTAATTTTACTCTAATTATTTAGTGTTAATAATTAATGATGATATTATTGTATCAATATAAAATAATGTTATATTATTATTAAAAAAATATATTATATCTATTTATTTATATATAAAAAAATAAAAATGAAAATTAGTGAGGAGAGAGACATCAAACGTGGATTTGCAGATAGAGAACCAACCAATCATAATCCTAACCTTGTCCACGTGTCTTTCATCTTCATTACTGTTTCTAGCACAGCAACTCTTTTCCCATGTTCTTTTATCGCTAAGGATAGGATTTCTAGCGTTGCAGCGGCCACTCATATCCGAAACAGCGCAAAATTAATTTTTAGAAATGGCGGCTGCTGTATCATCGTCATCCACCATGGTGGCCACCGCCGTTTTGATCCCACGTTTTCCGACCGCCATTAGAACTGCCCGCTGCAGTGTCTTGCCACCCCTTCCCCCTCGCGATTCCACCGTTTCCTTTTCATCTTCCGTTAAACTAATTCCAGGTAATCTTCCCTTAGATTACCTTTCAACACTTGCATAATGTACATTCATTTCTAATCTTAATAGTAAGTTTTTATTTGACTTTCTTATTATGTTCTTGCCTATTTGAAAGTTTAAGCTTTTTATTTAAAAAAAAGATTCTTTTTACACCATTTCTTGAAATCTCTTGCATATGTATGGCTTTGCTTATTGTTTTTATAGCTTTTCATTTTTCTGATTCCCAAAACAGAATCGAAGAGGTTTTCTCTGCTTCAGACAAAAGCCTCAGAGGAGACCTCAGTTGATGCTGGGGAGCTTTTCACTGACTTGAAGGAAAAGGTGAGAACACATCCTTAATCAGAATGATTCATGCAGCAGCTTTGAAAGGCTGCACCTTGTTATTAGGGAAGACGCATAATTTTATATTACAGAAGAGAGACGAACTTATAATAATTTAGGGAGGAGCAGAATTTGAGATGTTGCTTTAAAGGCTGCATAGTGTTGCACTGACTTGCTTTTCTTCCCATGTTTACCAGTGGGATAAAGTTGAGAACAAATCAACAGTTGTTCTTTATGGCGGTGGGGCAGTGGTTGCCGTTTGGCTATCATCCATTCTTGTCGTTGCCATTAACTCGGTTCCTTTGGTAAGTTGCTGCACCTCATTATCTCTTCCAATTAAGTTGCTATTCCAATCTGAAGCAATTTGTGCGCTAACCAGCTTCCGAAGATAATGGAGTTGGTAGGACTTGGATACACGGGATGGTTTGTCTACAGATACCTTCTCTTCAAGGTAAGAGATACACTAAACTTTATGGTCTCGTGAATCTTAATACCTCATAATCTTCTTAAAGCGTCGTTCTAAGAAAGAACTTAGGTGCATGAAGAGATATGTTTGAAATTAGCTTAATCTACAACTAAAATATTAAGATCTTCAGGCTCTTTAGAATAAGAATGATTATGTATATGCACACTAAAAACCATGTGCTAACACCATATGCTTGTTTCCTCAGTCAAGCAGGAAAGAACTAGCCACGGACATTGAGGCACTGAAGAGTAAGATTGCTGGAATTGAATAGATGCACAACAATGTCATGTTCATTTATTTTCTATTATTATTATCTTTTTGGTCCTTTCTGTAAGGATTGCCTTGTATGAATCCTTGTCACCCTTTTATTTGGTCAGTTCATGGATTGATACTTTTTCCTGTTTGATTTGTATGACTATAATTTCTATCTATGAATATGTATATACCATGTTAGCGTCCCATTTCTTCCATTCAAATGTATGTCTTTTCTCCCAGAGTTTGGGATTGATTAAAACGACAACTATTCTTTCCCATTAGTAAGAGCCAAAACCGATAAGGGTTAATGAATCAGAGAATCAGACAAGAAAACATTAACATATATGGAGTTGAGCAGTAGAGTGACACTTTGAGAGAACACAATAACATAAGCATTGTTAAAGCATAATATTAGAATGTTCTGAACATACGGAAAACATGTAACTTCAGATCCTATCTATATATTCGTCCTCAAGCTCAATACACTCGTCAGCAGTGCCAGCATCTTCCCCGTCAATCCCTTCATACAGCTCAACTTCCTTAGGGACTGCCGTCAGCTTGAAGACACAGAGCCTCCTCAGGCAAGTATTTCAATATAACGTCTGCCTTATCATCTTTGATAGTCCCACGAGGACGTTGTCATCAGTGATCCAGACCCTTTTGCGCATCTTGCAGGGATGTAGCAGAGCCATTTGATTCCATCGATGCTCAGCATGCCGACAACAGAAGCATATTCTTGGCCGTCTGTTTTGCAGATCAGCTCTTGTTTATCCTCTTCAGCTTTGTTTTCCACTTGCTTTAAATCCTTTTCCTTTTCTCCTTTGTTCTTTGACATGTTTTGATGAGTTTTGCTTCTACCTCTGCTCATTTATTTTAAATAAAAAGTAAGCTGCGATCTGCTTGATAATGAAAATTAGAAAACCAAACGTTTCTCTCTTCTCTATATATAGAATATGTTACTTGAGCAAGAAGTATATGATGAGAATTAAACAAAACAGTTACTGTAATCTAAAAAATGATGAACTGGAATGGAAGGAATGAAACAATATTGAAAGCAGATGAAGGCGAATACTAAGGTAAACAGAAAGACTTCCAAACATACAGAGGTTCTGGACAAAAGCAAAATACTCTTTCTTGGGTTATGAATAGTGGACAGCCCCACTATATATACAGCTAAGTCTAACAAACTAGCCCAACTGAACGACTCAACTAACTAGAATTCAGTTACAACAGATTTAACCAAAACAGTTACACCTACAACTATCAACAATTGTATAACACTCTAATATTCTCATGGTTTTCTTATGGTCTGAATTGCCACTTCAACATTTTCCTGGCTTCTTCAGACTTGCTTCTCGTGACTGGTGCTGTTGATTTCTGCCCAAGACTTAACACCAAGACACGAACGCATATCACTAAACACTGCAGGTGATAACGACTTGATGAGTATGTCAGCAACCTTTTATGCAGAAGGAACAAAATTTACACTGAGTTGTTTAGCCAAAACTCTTTCCCTCACAAAGTGTATATCAATTTCCACATGCTTTATTCGAGCATGGTGTGTAGGATTTGCTGCCATAGAAATTGCAGAGGTGTTATCACACCATACAATTGGCTTTTCAGTTACACTAATGCCAATTTCATCAAGTAATTGTTCTATCCAAATCAATTCAGAAACAGAATTAGCAAGGCTTCTATACTCTGCCTCTAAAGTGGACCTAGAGACAACGCTTTGTTTCTTAGAACACCACGCAATTGGATTACCTCCAAGATATACACAACAGCCTGTCGTGGATCTTCTGTCTTCCACCGAGGCTGCCCAGTCTGTATCAGTGTAGCAGACTAAACTGAAACTGCCAGTTTGTGAGAAAAATAACCCATGCTCAAGTGTCCCACTAAGGTATCTCAATATACTTTTCACTGTCCTCCAGTGAGTATCACACAGACTGTTCATGTACTGACTAACCTTGTTAACAACATAGGCTATGTCAGGTCTTGTTAAACATAGATATTGCAAACCTCCCACAATACTGCGATAGAGATGAACGTCACCAAACAACTGTCCATCATTTGCCTTTAGTTTAGGAGTAAGGACCATAGGAGTGAGAGTTGGACTTGACTCATCTAAGTTTGACTTCTTTAACAACTCAGAATTATACTTCTTCTGATTTAAAAACAAGCCTCTTGGAGAGTGTTCGACTTACATTCCAAGAAACAATTCCAACTGTCCTAAGTCCTTAAGAGAGAATTCCACATTAATTACTTGCACCATAGCATCCACTTCTATCACCTGATTTCCTGTGATGACTATATCATCTACATACACCATTAATAATACTTGAGAACATGTTGAATTTCTTATAAACAGGGAAGAATCAGCCTTCGAAACAAAAAAACCCAAGTTTTCAACTTGAAACTTCTTCAAAGTCTCAAACCATGCTCTAGGTGCTTGTCTAAGCCTATAAAAAGCCTTCTTTAAGAAACATACTAACTCCTTCCCATCTTCACTTTTCTGCTCAAAACCAGAAGGCTGACACATGTATATTTCCTCTGCTAACCTTCCATTTAGGAATGCATTATTGATGTCGATTTGCCTAAGTGGCCACTCTTTCATAACAGCAATAGTCAATACAGTTCTTATCGTACTTGCTCGAACTACTAGACTAAATGTCTTAGAGAAGTCTCTCCCCACCATTTGAGAATACCCCTTGGCCACTAAGCGAGCCTTAAGTATGTCAACTAACCCATCTGGCTTCCTTTTCACTTTAAAAAGACACTTGCAACCCACTGCTTCGCGTGCTGGTGGAAGAGTCTTTAACTCCCATGTACCATTCTTCATAAGGGCAGTATACTCACTATGAACAGCTTCACGCCAGACAGGATGTTGCAATGCTTCATAGACATTAACTGGCTCTTGAGGACTTGTCTCAGCAAGCAACACTCTAGGTTTAAAATGTCAGCTTTCCCACGAGTGACCATGGAATGAGCATTTTGAACTAGCCGAGACGGTGGTGGTGGAGGTGGTGGTGGCGAAGATGATGGTAACAGTGATGGTGGTTGTGGCAAAGACAAATGTGACGATGATGGCGGTGATTGTAATGAAGATAATTGTAATAGTAGAGATGTTGAAGTTGTAAATGGTTCTGAGACGAATGGATGAGGTGGAGATGAGATGGATTGTTGAGATGAAGACAACTCACGTGGTGAAGACGATGAAGTGGATGGTATAGAAGATGGTAGATTTGAAGGATATGAAGATGATGACACTGGAGATAATAACTCTGACACTTGTAGTAGTAATGTAGAAGATGGTAAGGCTGACTTGTGACTGTATGTGTTAGTGGGGAATGGGAAGAAAGAATGATAAAACAAGTTATTTGAAGAACAAACATTGTTGACACTTGAGTGTTTTTACTTGTTCTAGTAAAAGTGTTCATTGTTGGCAAATTACAAGCATTAGAAAAGTTTTGGTGTTGTTGATAAGGAAATTCGTTTTCTTTAAATCGAACATGCCTTGAGACATAGACACGACCACTAGGCTCTGAACACTTATATCCCTTATGAGTAGGTGAATAACCCAAGAAAACACAAGTAGTAGAACAAAACTGAAACTTGTGCTGATTATAAGGTCTTAAAAAAGGGTAACACGTGCATCCAAAAACTCTCAAAAAGCTAAAATTAGATGTTTTATGAAAAATCTTTTCATATGGTGATATATCAGACAACACACGTGTAGGTAATCGATTAATAAGAAAAACAACAATTGAAAATGCATCATTCCAAAAATTTAAAGGCATAGAAGCCTGAGCTAGCATAGAAAGACCTACCTCAACTATATGTGGATACATTCTTTCCACCAAACCATTCTGTTCTGAAGTATGGGGACATGACAGTCTGTGTATTATACCTTGCTCTTTTATGTAAGCTTGAAGTGCACCAAACTCACCCCCTCCAACAGACTGAAATACCTTTAGCTTGGCACCAAACTGTCTCTCCACCTGTTTATGAAACTGAAGAAAAGCAGTTTTAACCTCAGATTTTTGTTTCAAGAAATAATCCAAGTATACCTACTGTGTGCATCAGTAAAAGAAACATAAAATCTAAACCCATTAGAATAAACATGAGTATGGCCCCACACATCAGATACTATAAGTTTTAGTGGTTGTTCATAAACAGTGTGTGATTTAGCAAGCTGACATGCTTTGCACAATATTTGTTCTTTATTTATATCAGAAGCAATTACATTGTAATATTTTAATGCAGAAAGTAGCACTTCTTTAGAGGGGTGGCCAAGTCTTTTGTGCCACATATCTACAGACACCCTAGCATTTACAATGTGATAACTTATTGAAGACAAAGAACTATTAGAATTATTAACATGCATTTTATCACCAGTAGTCATACAACTGCCATTATTATCAGTGTTATTCATGGCTATATTGAGTTTGTACAACCCTCGATCTTGACTTCTTTTAATAGCACTTTCGAGTATGCAAGTCAAGAACTTGACAGAAATTAGGGTAAAATTCAAGCAGAACCTGATTGTCCCGAGTGAATTTAGAAACAGACAGCAAATTTTTAGAAATGTTAGGAACATACAACAATTTATTTAAAAGAAATTTATTGGAATTAGTGCAGAAATAAGACTGACTACTGCACTGTATTGGAAGAGAATTATCATTGCCTACAATTTTACTACATGTTCCAGGGTGAGTGCATTTAATCTGCAAGTTATTAAAGTATTTAGTTATATGATGAGTCACTCCATAATCTGGATACCAAGCATTATCATCCACTGTCTCAGGTGTAGCTATATAAGCTTGAGATGTGACATGTGGTTGAGTAGCAGCAGTGAACTGTTTTGTATTTCCAGAGAGAAATAAGACATGTTGTGGGGATTCAAATAGATTTGATGTTGAATATTAATAGGATAAATCAGTGATCGAAAATCAGAAACTTGAGGGACTTGAGAGGCTGCAGAAAATTGAGGAATTTGAGGTGTTGAACGTGTATAATACACTGGATTATAAGGATTGAAGTTGTCATTGCTGGGATTATACGAGCTGATATTGGCTTAAATATTGGAATAGCCTTTATTATTAGTGTTTTGTGTAGGTCGAGAGGATTCATTTTTATAGTTCATATCAAATCTATAATAGCATCTTTCAACAAGATGTCTCATCCGACCACACAATTGACACTGCGGTCTAAAGGATGAAAACCGTCCTCGACCTCTACCCCTATTACTATTGTTACTGTTATTGGAATTTTGACCATTATTATCAATAAGTTCACCCTATACTGATATTCAGAATATGAAGTATTATTGAGGTCACTTGATCACTTGTAGCTGGATTTGCAACATGAGCACAAGCTGTGACATGGTTAAAAGACTGAGATTGTCTAGTGTCAGCATCCAGTAATATGGTGCTGACAGATCTTAGATATGGAGGAGTGGGGGTAGCAGTTATAACAGTGATAACTGACTCAAACTCAGGTGGCAGACCATTCAATATAGCAGTGATGTGTTCATGTTCTGATATTATCTCACCACAACTAGCTAAATTGTCACATACATATTTGATTTTCATCAGATAATCTCTCATACTCAGGTCTCCCTTTCTTTGTGAATGAAGCATTCCCTTATATGACATCAATCTAGAGGTAGTTTTGTCACTGTATAACCTATACAGAGTATTCCAGATCTCAGCAGTAGTATTAAGACCTATGAGATGTGGTAGGACTTCCTCACTAACAGTGGAGAGCAACCAGGAAGTAAGCGCTCCATCTTGTTCTTCATAACGTTCATACTCAGGATTTAGTCTAATTACACCATCTCTAGTTACATACTGAGTTGGCCAAGAAACATTAGAGTCTATGTACTTCTGAAGTCTAT